CCCCCCCCACCAGAAGTCAATCATGGAACACGTCCGTCTTCCTACACTGCATCCCAAAACACAGCCAGCAAATTACTTTTAAGAATACCCTCAACATGAACTCGTCGTCAGTAAGAAATGAAATGAAATCACACAACAAATTTTGTGGGAACCGACAGAGAAGAGAAGACTGCGCTCCCTCAATAGTACAGTATGTCCGTCATACATACATGGAGAAGAAGAAAGAAAAAAAAGACATAAATAATGTGTATGTATGATTCATTTTGCGCTCTGTGGGATCTGTGGTAAGCCAAACTCATCAACCGGAACATCGCCCTGAGGGGAGGGGGGAGAAAAAAAGAAAGAAAAATATGAGAATACAATTTGGATTTAAGACAAAATGCAAACACATGATATTTAACCCTATCTGTACGTCGTGTTTTACTATCGTATCCATACGACGTGGGGAACTCTGTGCCTACACTTTTATAGAGGAAATTTACTCGTTAATTCGATCCATACGCTTTGCATAGCAGTCTGTCAAAATGATTTTTTGAGGAATACAGGAACTTTCAAAGAGATCTTCACACTAAAAGTATTCCAAAATGTGAAGAATACAACCCCGGGGGTACAAATAAGGTTAACTGGATATAATCCAATAATCCGACAAAGCAAACTTTGAAGCCAACAACAACAATAAAATAACAAAAGTTGTTTTTTAAATGCAGAAAAAAATAGGAGGGTCTTGCATTGATCAAGTAACAATGTTCTAGGCCCCATCTACACAATCTAGACCATTTAAGAGGTGGGCAGCTCCAATCCTCCCCAAAAAACAACTGGCTGAGTTTGAGGGTGAAAGATCAGAGTCTCCAGAACCCGAATATATCCAGATTATTTTATGAACCGATCTTGGACAAATGTTAGATAATGTCAGAGCTCTATACACCAACAGCAAAAGCTCAGTAAGGAAGACAATACAGACTGGTTCAAAGTAAGATCTGGAGTACGACAGGGATGCGTTCTATCTCCCCTCCTGTTTATATGATATATAAGGACACAATAACGCAAGATGCAAACCAAAGCTCAGACAGCCTAAATGAACTTCGATTCGCAGACGACCAATGTCTTATTCATCCAAACCAACAAAACCTCGAAAACCACATTACTGAACTGAACAACAGCTGTGAAAAATTCAACATGAAGATAAGCACATCAAAAACAGAAGTTATGAAAGTGAGCTGAAACCGTAGTCCCCTGACATCCATGTCAATAGTAAACAACTGAAACAGGTGAAGGAGTTTAATATATTGGCAGTACTATTTCTGAAAACGAGTCCATAGACCAAGAAATAGAAATGAGAACTCAAAAAGCCAACGCCGTCCCCTACCAGCTCACACCCCTCCTATCTCATCCAGACATCTCCACAGACACAAAGAGACAGCTTATCACCTCAATATTCATACCAACATTACTCTACCAGTGCCAGACCTTGGCATTAACTTAAACCTATGGTAGCAAAATGACCGCATGCGGAATGAAATGCCAAAGCCGGGGCTCTTATAAATCGATTTGAGTTATGAGTTGGACAACACAGTATTTCGCCCACTGACCCGCATGCTCTCCCCTCCCGGCTCGCTGGTGGGTGCGGAGGGGGCGGCCACAGCGTCGTCCAGGTAAGACGAGTCCTCGTCTAGCCCGATCTCGTCGCCCAGTGCGTCTAGCTCCGCCTCCAGCTCATCGTCGTCCAGCTCGGGCATGCCGTAGCTGCGACCCATCACTTCCTGGATCTCGTTCGTCTGCTCCATCAGGTCCTCCAGATCATCTTGCATGTTCTGTCCCCCAAAATTAAAGGTAAGAGGGAAGGTAAAAAAAAAGAGATTTTTTTAATAAAAAAAGAAATTTTAAAAAATGGACAAAAAGAGTTTTTTAAAAACAGAAGTGTTGAATTGCTGAAAGGAAAAATGTTTTATGTTTTAGTAATTGTTTTACGGCACTTACAACACTATAAGGACATATATAAGTGCCGAAGATTAGAGGAGTTACAAGAGAGTAACAAACACAAAAAAAAGAAGGAGCAGATATCAGGATGATAGATGTTTGATAGGAAAGAAGGAGCAAACCACACCAGAGCACCCGCCGACCACCCACCTTTTTTTTCCCCTCTCCAACTCCAGCATCTTACAACTCAACAAGTAGACAGGGTTCCTGCCATGAACTCTCCCCACCAAATTCAAGGAGGTTTCAAGGAGAAATTATAAAAATTCAAGGAGATTTTGTCAAGAAATTCATGCCGAAAGGAATCGCAGTTTCGATTTTCCTACAAAAACTCTGTTCCTGTCCGATATGGTAAAATTCAAGGAGGATACTCAATTCAATTTCAAGAAGAGTTTTCATCGAATGAAAACCTCAGTTTTCGAGGAGACTTTTCATTGAAAGCAAATTCAAGGTGTTTTCAAGGAGATTTTTCATTGAAAGCAAATTCAAGGAGTTTTCAAGGACTCCTAGAATTCAAGGAGTCGGCAGGAACCCTGAGTTGACTATCACGCCAGATCACGTCTGCTGGGACATTTCAGTGACCTACGTTCAGCACTTTTCAAGGACACCCC